TAATTTGAGGTTTATGGTAGTATTCATCACGGATCGACATCGGTTGCGGAGCTATTGAAAACTTGGGACTACTGGACAGCTGTTTACTCCTAGTATTGGACTCCTCAGCAGTATGCACCCACGAGCCCACCAGGGATAGTCGCACTATATCACAAATTGACAGATGTAGGAAACCGTGGACCAATGAGCTCCTCCCACCCAGTAGTTGGATGATTAACGCGTTCGCCTTGAAACGCAAAGGTCCTGAGTTCGATCCCTGGGTGGGTATTGCTGAGTAGCCTCGAACATGGACGAAACGGCTGTTCCAGTTGTCCCGCATTTTCAATGGTTCCTTAACTGATGTCATTCCATGAGGAATAATACCTTCAAAATAAAAATCCCCATAAACTTCACCTTTTTCTCCGCATACTGTTAGCATTTAGTTTTGGTTTATTATCAGCCTCTGAGATTAATGGCAGCTGCAGAAAAACGTTGAGATTTTATGGGAAATACTATTTTATATAATAACTAAGTGAAAAAAAACTCACGGGATCAGTAACTTTTTAGTTGTATCTTAACATAATCCATCAACCAGTATCAACTGAATATTATTCAGCAAACAGTATGTTACGAGAAGTAGAAAAGATGTTGAACAGAGTAGCGACCAGTCGTCAAATAATACACACAGAAAGCAGTTGACGAATTCCAACCAAACGTCAGAGTGACAATGAACTAGTCAGTCACAAGTTTCACTGTCTTAAGTCGATGAAAAAGTGATCTTTACCGTACAGTATGCAAATCTTTCATAACTAATGACTAACATTAGTAATCACTTTTTATGAATGCCTATTCCTAAATTAAGCGCACTAACTACAAATTATCACTATGTTGTTCATATAAAAATAAAAATCCCTTTCAGTCTAATGTACCAATAACAGTGAGTCACTCTGAGTGGGTTAAAATTTAGTCACCATTCAAGTAACTGAGACTTCTGTAGACTGATGAAGATACTTTAAAGGTCGGTCTGGCCACTGACCGATCAGTTTTTTTAAAATTTCATCACGAGGATCGCACTTTTCAATGAACTAAAAAACCTTATTCGTTATTTCAGCCGTTGTTAGGGTGACCTTGAAAGTCACTCTGTTGCCTCATGCAATAAATGATTTGAAAATACACTAAAAGCCTGAACTTTTATTCATGCTGACTTCAGTTTCAAAACAATTACGTTTTTAATGGCCTAAAAAGTATGATAGGATTACTCGTCAATTGACGTTACTTGTCATTTTCTATAGATGCATATGTTAGCACAATCGCCTTGTTTGGCTGTTTATTGATGAGGGGTAGTTTTTTTACAAGTACGTATAACTGCTGATGAAATCCATGATAACAAAAACCCGGAAAGCTTATCATAGAAGTGAGTGTAAATTGAAGATACAAATCATACACAATCAATAAAATTGCCTAGGTGAAGAAAAACGGCAAAGGTGGTAAAACAAGGGCGAAGATGAAGGCTAGCGACAACAAGTCAGCGAGTTATCAGTCAGCCTTGAACAATCAATCCGGAATAATGGGCGTTCACAAATCACATACACAGTAATGAATGATGTTTACATGCTTTTGGTTATTGTTAGTGATCTAATATAGTCACTATTCATGATTCATAGACTCAGTTACTGAAAAGCGTATAAAATATACAGATTTTGAGGACCATCCTAGCAACAGAATACAGTAGATCGAAAGGGTTACCTCGAGTAATGGATATATCAGAAATGGTTCGACTAAATATCAGCATCCTAGTTGGGGGGTTTTTATGAAACGTTTATGAAAAATATCTAGTGTATTTTGTGCATTTTCGTTCATTTTACTATTTACTGATGCAACTTTCTATCTAAGAGATAGCTTACGACCTTTCCTGATAAGCCTGATTGGATTTAAGTCGAAATATATAGAAATCCATTCAACAACATTGTGCACCTTTGTGTAATAGGCAATGAATGAGCTACACATATTGTGTGACGGCCAATGATATGCTAACTGGCTGCCCAAACCTCGGTAGATGAAGCGCGGCTCAGACCCGTAACCTATCGGTTGGAAATCAACTGCCTAGACCAACGAGCCACAGCTCCATCCTGCATTTGACTGTTGAATGGTCATTCAACGTCACTTGTTAAGTCGTTGGCTTAAGGTTGCTATTCCTTATCTTTTCCAAAGTGAGAATGTTAAAAACCGAATTTCCATCCAGTGTACAGTAAAATTAATGATTTATTAGGTGACCACTATCAATGACATTGAATTGATACAGTCCCTGATTATGCAGCAAATATGGCTAGTGGACAGGCTAGTTCACCTAGCTAAGGCAATAAATATCCTCTAACTTGGTTTACTTAACTTTCTTGAATCCAGTGGTTAGTAGCAAACAGAAGCTACGGGCTACATCACGATTCTAACTAGTTGGTCTAATGAGTTAAAACAATACCATGAAAGATGATAAAATAAAACAATCAGGAAAACAGGACAATAATAATAGGAGGAAATGCTAAATTAGGCTAGTACGAAGCCGGATTTACGACAAAGTATAAGCGTCAAATACATGTCTCTGGAATCGACTTTTTAACCATAATTACTTGTCACCAACCGTAGATTTTCCCAAGAGAAATATCGGACTTACTTCTTACTTACTTACTTCTACAAGAAACAGCATCAAGTGTCTTGATATTAGGTGGTCACATATTTTAATGGACATGTATCATAACAGTAGTGTGAGATGAGAAAAAATTAGTCCAGAGAAATACAGAAAAATAACTTTTATGCTTGGAAAGTGAAGAAATAGTCGAAATAACCGAAACAAATTGCGCAGTATTAACAATCATTCACCAGTTGTATGAAATCTAAATTTATATGAGATTACCTGATTATACTAAAAACTTGGGTAAACGACAAAGCAAGTACCGAAAAACTTGCTTGTTGAAAATATCAAGTCTCAGTTATTAAGGTATCATTCCAGCATGATTTTCCTATAAAACCCGGTACACTAACGACAAATTAATTAGCATAAGGAACCGGAAATCTTTCAGATGGTATTGTGATGACTGTTATAAGTATAATGAGAAAATACAAAAGTGAGATGAAACACAGAGATACACAAATCAACCCAGAGTCTATTACAAGAATGGATCGATTCAAGTTGCCAAACTTCCCATCAGCTAACCACAAACCTTTCTACACGGCTTAGAGCGACAGTGAAAGATTACGTGAACCGGTGCAATAACATGGTATAGCCACTTAGTCCTTTTTCAGTCGAATCCTACTTCAGCTAACAATGCACGTCGATGCTGAAGTAGAGAGGGAAAATAAATAAACTTCAATATTATGTTCGAAAGTTTGATGAATCTCTGTGATCAACCTTTCAGATATTTCGGTTAAAGTCATGACTCATCTCGAGGACTCCAATCAACAAGTCTATGGTTTTCCACACGGTTCAGACTAAAATTCAGACTGGGTGATGATTGAAGGTGAGATGAAAAGTCGCATATAGTCAAAATGATAGCAATATGATGCTTCCCCTATCACCAAGTATAAATACTAGTCTCCCAAACCACAGCTATCTCATATAGTCGAAATGATCAAATTCAGACGCTATATGAATTAAGTACCAAAACGTAGTCTACACCACCAATAGTTTTCTTCCCACCTAATCCTACTTCAACGATAAGCGCTCGTCATCATGAGCGACACAAAGCCAAGTTAGCTCCATCAATTTCGGTTTACAACCTCACAGACTGATCTGACTTTTTTTCCCAGTACTCTATGTCTAACCTTAATATGGTTTGAAAGGTGATTTTATTACATTCGAGGAATGCTACGAAGTCAGAAACATGTAAGTACCTCGTGTCTTTCAGTTTCACCATCATTTAGTACACCAGAGACAAATGCTGTGCGGTAAATACTCATCAATTTGGTAAGCATTCGGATATTTCACAGGGAGCACACGACATACGTTGGTGAACGCCAAATAGACTTTTAGTATCTAAGCTGAAATTTCGCCAAGTCAACCGATTAGGACTGATGCAACTTACCAAGTCACTGAAGCAGTTAACACATCCGACCATCCCCACTACCAGCTAATATCCTAGTTACTCTGATTAGTAGCAAAAAAACTTTTATCCCTAAATACATTCAGTGGAAAACCATAGGTCCTACTGCTTTGCCTTCTTTCAGCACAAGCAGTTCCTGTATCACTACTTTCCAGCTGCCCACACAAAGAAAGTGGACATCATCTCGAAGCAATTGAAATAAAAAAAGTGGTTTAGTTCCGCTTCGTCACAAAGACCAAAAGTTGTATTTAAGACAGTGACAAATTGCCTTTGCATAGTTTAATTTGCGATTTCAAAGCAATATTGCCGGTGACAAGAGTTAATAAAATAAAGTATACTATTTTAGGGTCCCCCTCTTTTTCCCAAAATAGGAACATGGTACATCTGAAGCGATGGTCACCTACCTTATTATCGCATTCCTGTTCATCCAGCAGTAAGGATTCATCCATAGACCTACATTATTTTGTAAGTTATTTACACTAAGACAGTAACTGCTTTTCAGTCTTACCAATAGAAATCAGATGTTTTCAGTATGATATGACCTTAAAGAACAATTTTACAAGTCATTATAGTGTGTCGGGTAATTGTGATATGCTAACTCAACCATTACGTTAAGGTAGCAACTGTTAGTCGGGGCTAAGAAACAACAAAGTAGATAAAATGCAATGCTAAAGGTTTATTGCGCCGTAACAAGCATGAATGTTTGGTTTTTAAACACAACAAGAATATTCACAGGGTTAAAATTCAACTATCCTAATTATTTATTTCTTTAGCTATGCATAATGTAACGATATGGGTATAAAGTCGTATGCTTTCACATGTCAGAATGTGTTTGTAGGAAAATAAAGATATAAAGCAACAAGATATATTTTTGATTAAAAAACAACCAAGTGTCTATACACAATATACATAACTAATTAAACTTACCGGAATTCCACGTTTTCGCAAATGTTGTATGAAAAGAGATGAGGATAAGACGCTGTGAACGAAAATGTAAACAAACCGGTAATGAACCACCTTGTCTTTTTTACATACACATTTAGTACTGAAATCTTGTTCAATAATCGATTACGTACCTACCACTATTTTTTGATAGGCTTGTAGTTCTACGTTGTTTTATTGGATCGATTTGTTCGATCTCTATTGGCATATGGGTTCCTATGCGGATGCCTCGATATTGCCTGACGAGCCTTAAATAAAACGAAAGCCACGTCCTGGATTCTTCTGCTAGCCACAGTCAAGTAAATTATCATAATAAAGTGCATCTACTTAATATATAAATCAAATAAACCGTACCGAGTGTATGAAGAAAGTATTTTCCTGCCTCGTTTGCCTAACTTTTCTGATTTAGTCTTGGTATGTCTGTATATGAAGCGGATGATCTCATTCGCAGCAAAATCCATAAGTTAGACTGTCATTCTGAGAAAAGTATTGAATACTTTAAAGGTTAGTAATTAGTCCGCATAATTTTTATATACTGCTTCGTATATTTACAGATTTACGAAATATCCAGACAGAGAGACAAAATCAGCGCAGAACCTCGCACACAAGTGCATCGGTACGAGTTGGCACACTTCACAGTAGTATACAAGAACGCGGACAAAACAAGGGTGATATCAAAGTAGATAAAGTTGTGTTGTTTTGCATTATTTAGTTTAATTGTCATCATTTTACACTGATTTGACAGCAATTGGTGTGATCTCATCGCCTTTCTGCGTGAACTATGAGCTCAAGAAGACCATAAACACTTCTTGTATCGGAGAGCGTAGTGCAACCGATGAGGTCGTTGATGATAGTTCCTATGCAGACTATTTAGCTTATACTGATGGCATCTCTAACGCTATTTCCTTATTCGATCGGTCACGGCATGTTTTTGATAGAGAAGCTTCGCACCCAAACAGGGAGGTCGGCAACTGTTTACAGTCTGAACGGTCAGTACCCCAAAGTGAACAAAGCCAGGCAGTACGAGAAATCGATACAGAGAAAATACCAACGGACTGCTAGTTCGGTTTACCCAAAGGATATCCAAGCGAGATATTCAGTGATAAGGAATGGAACTTGGTAGGGTCCAAGAATAAGCTGGATGAATCCTTGAGAGAATGGAAAGAAAAACTGGTTCACAGCAACTTGCCTGGTAAAGGAATTGACTGGCATTTCAATCCATCGATCGTAAGCCACTGGGACGGGTTTGGGGAACACACAATTCGTACAACCAACAACCGTCCACTGGTTCCACCTACATCCCGGGTTGAAGACATAACGGCACTAACTTCAGCAAAGTTGTTGCTGCTGATAGACGACTTAAAAGGTTATATACAGGAGTGATAGATTTTCTGAAGCTAATTATCATCTTGCAGAGATATTACGACAACAGCATAAGTGGACGAATTCTGAGAGAAACATCCAAGTACGTGACTTAGTCATGATAGTGTCAGACATTGGGGATAGAAATAAGTGGCCTTTAAGACTGATACAGTGGAAGGTGTGCAGTGAAGATAGGTTGGTTAGAAAGGTAAGATTAAAAACAGTAAAGGAAACGCTCGTTAGAGATATTCGTAATGTGCCTCCTAGAGGCGTCGGATGAAAGGTTGTCGGTAGGGGAACTCTGCTGTAAGTTTTGGGGTCATCGGGAAAGTTAGTGCAGAGGGTTCCCAGGCGTACTGATGTAAGCCCTGGGTACCATTTAGGGATATATGTATGCTTATGTGTCTGTCTGTCTGATGTGATAAATGTTATTGGATGCTAATGGTTGTGAACAGAAACTAAAGTTATTTGGTGGGTGAGTGTTGAGTATTTTGATTTTGTTCTTCTAATGTATTCAAGAACACTGACCACTCATTTTGACTTCATTCAATTTGTCTGCACAATCATATTTAACCTCTTGTTTCTATTAGCGTTACTATTGTGTTTCACTTTGGATAGAAACTGCAGTAGCCGTCAAAAGTGAAGGTTTGTAACTAAGTTTTGTACATATATTTTGTTGTAAAGAACAATTTTCGCAGGGTTCACTTACTGTTTGAATATACATTTGTTTTTTGGCAACCAATTGTTTTGGATTTGGTCGGTTTCGCTTTGGGTTTTGGGAACTCTGGAAATTCGTATCTTCGTTACGTGCTACCCAGTGGATTTGACATAACATAAGTTCACTCCTTATATAATGACTCCTTTTCTATTTGTTACGCTTAAACTAATTCCCCTTATCACCACCAATTGTACCATGTGTATATTGACTGTGCAACTTTATTAGTGCGTTTGTCTGATATTTTGCCGATTATAGATACTACTGTAAAGCTTGATAAAGTCATCGAAAAAAAAAATTTCTTCGCTGATAAAAATTTTCTTTTTATTCGCGAATAAATGGATTTATTTCGTCAACTCTACAGCAGCCTGTATATTGAACATGATCGATTAGTCTTTGAGTGCATTGAGGCGATTGGTGATAAACCGTACACGTAAACCATAACAAATTTTCGCAGATTTTTCATCCTTTTAGATGAATATAAGATGACACTTTCAAACTTTCTGTAGGTAGTAAGTTTACCTTCTTGCTGCCAAAAAGTTGCTTTTTTGATGTTATACGAAGCTGTAGATGATTTAAGCGATGAACTTGCCTTTTCGTATAGTATACTGTTTGATGTACTTTTGATTTAAACACATTTTCCTGTTCTACTGAAAAGCAGAGTATGAATAAAAAAAATCCGACTTCGATTTTGTCGCCGTTCGTGAAGAAAACACTGCTGGAAAACAAAAAGTGCTACCAATAGTTAATTATTGGACATTGAACAACTACGAATTCATTTTCGAAATGAAAAACCGAGAACAGATAGGATATGCCTACCTAAATGGTCCTATAATAATGAAATTATTCGTCACAATCGAAACACCCATCATTGTGACTATTGTGTGAACTTAACTAGCAAAGTAGTAGTATTCGGGAATATTAACTAGAAAGTAAAACCATTTAGAGAATCGTTTGAAAGTAAGGGGGAAATCAGAAAAACTTACTACTCTGAAAGTAGGAGAGCTGTATTAGGTAGAAAACCATGCCAATTACGTCGCCTAGCGAATTCATTAGACCTATTAGGAGGAGAGACGAATAGAAAATGAATAAAATAAAAGTTATAACTTCATTTTACTTCTTTAGAGTATTTTAGTGAGCAGAAAATCAGAATATTAACAAAAATAACCGGGATGAGAAAAATGAGAAAAAGCAATACATCATGCAAAGCGCAGTCATTTAGCGTAAAAAACATTGCTATCCACAAAAACCTTCAATATTGAGAAAAATTACTATCGCTTCAAATTTCATATACATTTAACTTACCACACATAAGTCAGATGGATTAACCCAACAGCCGAAAATGGGAACTTGGACACTAATTGATACAGTCACTTTTAGATGGAAGACAAATCTTACGAAAATAATGAATGCAAGTAAACGTTGTCATCCAACCATCCAAATCAACATAGAACCAGGGATTACTGCGTAACGGTCCAAGTTGTCACACCTCATCTCATATCAGTACATCAAGTAAAAAGGCAGTGAGGCGCAGGATGAAGATAAGAAAATTCAGTCAAAGGAGAGAAAGGAAGAATGACAAAATGGTGAGATTCGGTATAGCATCGTTAAGATGAGGATAATATGTGTATACATCTGCGCCACTGACATCGGTTCTGAGCCATATCACCTAAAGTCTCCAACCACTGGTTCCTCTTGTCCCGCGGACCCCAACCACCTAGTCTGCATCGTCTCCACATGGCTAAAACCAACAGTCAAAGACCTCATACACTGATACCGTGTTTTAGTCCGGCCGCCTCAAGCCTTTTTCCAGCCCGAACCTACTTCGGCTAACACTGTGTGACAAGGCACACGGTGACTAGGCATACGTAACACGTGTGCCAACCATCTCAGACGACGAAGGTTCATAACCTCGTCAACTGATTTACCTCTACTCCCTAAAACTCTACGCCTGACTTCTGCGTTACCTACGTGGTGGTGACACCACGAAATACGGCCTATACTGCGAAAGTGATGAGGGTCAAACACCTGAAGCCTTCTCATGTTTTCCACCTTTAATAGCTATGTTTCACAGACATACAGTAGGACAGAACAGACGGCTGTGCAGCACACGCGATCCTTAATAGATAGTCAAATATCAAGGTGGTGCCACAGGTGGCGTAAATTGGTAAAAGCCAACCGAGCCTTTCGTATTCGTGCAGATATTTCAAGGGCCACTAAGCCGCTAGGGATGACCCCACTTCCAAGGTAAGTGAATTGGTTGACACACTCAATCACTGCACCCTCTATTGTTAGCCGAGGCACCGTTGAAGACCAGTTCTGGAGCAAACGTTTACATTTGGGAGGTGAGAAACCCATCCCCAACATTTTAAAATTGGTACTCAAGGTGTCCAGAAGTCTCTGCATCTCGTCAGCGTCTTTCCCTAACAGAACTATGTCATCTGGATATTCTAGGTCTAACGAAAATTGTCCTGCAATTAGGTTAACCTGTGAGTAGTCAGGTGACGAGAGGGAGACCTCCATAAGAATATCTAAGATAAAATTGAATAGGAATGGAGAGAGTGGGCACCCTTGACGGACACCGCTCGATGAGTACAGCTCACCTGACATCTCGCCATAGGCTCTAACATGCCCACAAGTGTTTGAGTAGAGAGCCTTCAATAAGGTGATGTACTTACTCGGTACGCTTTTCAGTGAGAGACATTGCCATAAGACTTCTCGATCAATGGAGTCGAATGCCGCCTTCAGGTCAAGAAATACAGCAACTGTCGGGCGCCAGTAAGCATGTCTGTGTTCCAAAACCTGGCGCAGTGTGAATACTTGGTCGATACATCCGCGACCAGGTCCAAAGCCTGCTTAGTTTTCTCGGGCTTGTTATTCCCGAGCTATACTCAGGCGTCGGAGAATTATAGAACCTAGAATCTTACACACTCTGTTTGTCAGGCTGATTCCTCCGTGGTTATCACAAGAGGACTTCTCGCCTTTCTTGAAGATTGGGATAATCAGTGACTTAGACCAGTCAGAGGGGATCGTATTTAATTCCTACATACTAGCTAACATTTCCGTTAACCTGACTAAGAGCACTCTACCACCACCCTTGTATACCTCAGCAGGTAGTCCGTCTGGTCCTGCTACCCTTCCTCGTCTCAGGTTACCTACCGCTTTCTCAACTTCTGCTAGTGTTGGGGGACCTGTCTCAATGTTCCATTCAGGACCCGACTGGATAGCGGGCAACGCAATGGTGGCTGGAGGCCAGTTTAACCGTTTCCCGAAGTGTTCTGCCCATCGTTCCAGTCGTCTCCCCTGCGAGTGAATCACAGACCCGTCCTTCTCTGCTACAGTCTCACAAATCGTTGTTGACCTTTTCACCCGTTTCCGTAATAAGTCTAAATAACTGTCTGCTGTTACCAATTGCTGCTACCTTTTCCATCTCTCGAGCCTCCACTGCATAGACTTTTTCCCAATCTACTTTTAAGATGCGCTTGCTCTTCATTGTACTTAGAGCCTGCAGGGATGCGTTCACGTACATCCATTAGTTCGGAAGAAGCTGCTGATATCCGCTAGTTCTTTTTAGCCACTCTTTTGGATTCCGCTACAGTCTTCAGCGCTGCTTTCTCAGCAGACTGGAGATGGCACCGGGCTTCTTCTGGGTGAGTGGTAGTGTTCTGTTTCGATAACTGCCTAACCAATTTCTCACCGAAAGCGGCTTTGTTGTTGAGCTGCACTCGCAGTGGTTTTGTTGCCAAATTTTCCCTACATCCATTGAGACGTAGGCTTATACCTGCTGGACTAACGCGTGGTCGCTATCCAAACACTTACTCCAGAAGGAGTGAAAGTCTTCCACCGATCTTCTCTAGCGATGACTGACAGCAATGTGGTCTATCTGTGTCCATCGCTGAGTTGAGCTTGGTGGACGCCACGTCAGACAGTGTCTTTCTTTACAACGGCGAGTCTCACTACTCTTTTTAGTTCTCACTGTGCCCTTCAGGCGCATAGCGCAGAGGCGACTATCAACTGGGATCTAGTCTAATAATGAGTTTTCTGCCATGTGCTTAATGCTATGCCTACACCTGTTGGACCGCAAGACCTAGCTATCGAATCTCTAGAAACTCGAAGGGTGAATTTAGTAGACTCACCAGATTAGTCAGGAGAGGTCAGGTGAATAACCACACTTGAATCCTGTATGCCAGTCTCGCAAACACAGAACACATCCATAGCCCAAGGGCGGTTAACACTTCCCCGCTGCCCACACCGTGGAAGGCTATTTCTTTTTAAGGTACCTGAAAGAGGTATATGTGGCCACAAAGCCCGTCGGACATCTGTTTAAGGCCTGTCACAAACAGCTTTTTTGTATGCTTGTTTTGAGCTTTGTTGTTTTGGCGCCGGATGGTTGAAAAAGAAACGACAAATGAACCAATACCGCCATTCCGGCATACCGTGGGGCATGGTGGAGTGTGTTATTCTTGAGCCCGACCTTTCCTACCCCGCTTCCATTGAGAAGGCAGCATCAGCATGGCACTGTTGACCATCCAAGGGAAGCACCTTACTGTTGTCACACCCCATCCAGCTAGTAGCAGTACGACTTCGCCCTCAGACCATTATCATAGAGTAGTAATTTACACCACAACGGTAACTGCTTTTCGTCTAACCACTATCCAACAGACCTTTTTGGTATGGCAAGACTTCGAGAGAACAAGTGTTCCACCAGCATAGCTCGTCGGGTCATTGTGGTTTGCAAGCCTCACCACCACTTCAAAGTAGCAGCTATCGGTCAGGCAGCAGCTCCTGAGTGAAGAAGATAAGAAGCAGGAATGACATTGGCATTTACTCAAATTTTCGATTTACTGTTTAATCTTGGCTGTATTGTGTTCTCTGAGCTGAGTTGTTTAATCGTGAAGCTTTCATCGTTCTTCTAGACAATGACATCATCAGCACTAACTTCAGTATGAAGTGAGCTGTCAATATCTCTCCGTGAGTGATTTAGTAGCTTGCCTTGACGAAGTGGTTTGTGATTGGTTGTTTTCTTCGATTGCTGTGTCACTGACAGACTGTATAGATTTTCCTGTTGGCAGACGGACAGCCAACAGGAAAATCTATACAGTCTGTCAGTGACACAGCAATCGAAGAAAACAACCAATCACAAACCACTTCGTCAAGGCAAGCTACTAAATCACTCACGGAGAGATATTGACAGCTCACTTCATACTGAAGTTAGTGCTGATGATGTCATTGTCTAGAAGAACGATGAAAGCTTCACGATTAAACAACTCAGCTCAGAGAACACAATACAACCAAGACCATCCACCTGAGCTACAAATATTCTCCACAATTTCAAAATGACGATAAAAATAATACAAATAATAATAATGATAAGGGTGACAACGTTAACTAAAGCGTATGCAATATGGATGATAATGATGATATGCAGCGAGAAAGCAACATGAAAATGTAGACACTCCGATAATCAAAAAGCGTCAAAAGTTTGTGAGAATGAAAGTTACGTACTACTGAAGAACGAGGTAAGTGGATAAATAAAGCCTAGACAAATACAGTAAGTATATGAAAGAGGTGGAGAATAAGAAAAGGGTATATGATATATCCAGATCTGTTCACTCAGCAAATGTGTTTACAGGAAGACTACATCTATAAGTCAGTACATACATTTTCTTGAACATGTACGAATTCGGTACAAGGCAAACCTGGTTAAATGCCTCACTAACAGAGCGAGAAGAATATGTTTGGATGATCTAGTACAGGAGTTAGAATATATCCGCAATTCATTGGTTGAAATGGGCTACCCCAACAGTTTGATAAAAAGACACATGGACAAAGCCAGGAGGAACAAACCTGGAATTATTACCTAACAAAGGAAACCATTGTTTATGAAATTGCAATTTAATGGGGATGTGGCCGGAGAAGTTTCATATCAGAGACTCTCTAGAACCATTAGGAGGACCTTCTACGCCACACAACTCTGTCTATCACTTCCAAGTCGACCAATTGTTGCTGCTCAGACAAAAGATAGGATATCCAGTTTTTCCATTCCTATGTGTATTAACAAGTTTAGCTACCCATGTGGAGAAAGCTATATAGGGTGTGCTACTAGACAACTTAACAAACGTGTTGTTGAGCATCTACTTTCATGGTCGGGAAAGGGACGGACAAAATCCATCAAAAGTTCAGTTTTATCTCACCTTATTGATAGTAGTCACTTGGTAGGTAAGAACAATGCTTTCACGATTATTCACCGCATACTATCTCATCTTTCGAAAGGTATTCAAACTCGTCTTTTACAGGTAGCAGAAACAATGGGAATTCGAGCTAATAATCCTAGTCTTTGTATCCAGAAGAAATTTGTAAATCCCTTATCTCCTCCCTGGCCAGGGAATACTTAGTTAATAACTTTATCATTCAGTTTTTTTCCTATTCTTTTTCTCATTCTTGACCCCTTTGATATACCTGCTGTATTTGTCTACGCTTTGTTTATAAACTTACCTCGTCCTTCAGTATTACGTAACTGTATTTATCAGAGAAATCCATCAAGACCTCACAGGAAAATTGTTCATATTCTTATCACCAATGCACATGACGTTTGCGAACTCAATAATATAAAGGAAAAACTTGGGGAGTACGGTAGATTATAATTCCATATTAGATTGTTTATTCGACGTAGCACACAGTGACATCATTGAGATTTATCATGATTTAAAATAAAGACACAAAACTGTAACGGAACAGATGCAACAATTCACATGACAGGTTATAAACAGAAAAGATGTGATAATATAAAAAAGAGGTCAAGTAGGAAGGCTTAATTTATTTTGACCTTCCTACTTGACCTCTTTTCATATTATCTCTTTTTACGACCTTTCCCAGAACTGGAGAAAAACAGATGAGTCAATCAGCTCACCCTATAATCATTAGATAATAATTTACCTTCAGCAGGATAGTAAGAAGAAAAAAACACCATCAACTCACCGAATAACAGAGATTAAGGGTAGTTCAAAGCAATCATATTTTATTGGTAAAAACGGCAGCAGTCCAAAAAATAGCAAGCCATTATCCACACGACGTAGGAGAATGGAGGGAAAGTAAGAATGTCCTTGTTGCGCAATTCACACTTTTTGGATACCTTCGAATTCATTGAACCCCATATAGTTATCCGCTCTCGATTATGTGTTTCAATAAGACGTGCAACCTATATCAGGAAAAAATTCCTGTCAAACAGAACTGAAAAAAACGTCTGGAAACTAGAATAAGTAGTGTTGAAATTTAGTACGATTCTGTAAAAACTGTTATCATTTACGGAAAACAATAAAAATAGCATGCAGAAAATGTGTGAGTTAACAAAAGCATTATCAGTACCTTCAATCTTTCCAACACGATTATAAAAAACAGTTGTAGTGCACCATCTTGGCACCAAAATACTGCTAGGTTTAAACAAATAAACACTTAAGATATCGAGATAATTTTTTACGGCGTCGGTGGGTAACTTTAATTCCGTAAGTTTCTTTTCACGTGTAGGCATCCATCCATCGATATTCACCATTTGTGCATCCTCTTCGTGCTGATCAGCAGTAATGCTCTCAAAGTCCCTAGCCCAGTCATTAATAGGCAGATAAGTTCAACATTCTTCCACTAAAATAACTTTTTTATCTCTGATCAGTAAATAAACTACCTATCTTAGCACTTTTTACCATAAAAAATGTGTGGTTGCTGAGTCGGCTCATAGTTTTCTCTTCATCTCTCAGATTCCCATCGTCACCTCTAAACTTACTTTTATGCGCCCCCTTGAAATAGATTACCTACAGGCCAGAAGAAAATCTATGAACAACTGGCTGTTATGTTTTGGTCGGAGGTGGGACCCGGCTCGTTCACAGTCAGATCGACGTGTACTCAAAGGCAACCATCCCCGTGAATGTAACGTGAGCCAGCTTCGCAATCCATACCTAGCCTATAACTTACCCAGGTACACTTAAGCACTGGGATACTGCCTTTTCACCGGGGAAGCATCGTAACACATTTGAAACCTTACTCATCCACTTTCCAATCTCGATTTCTAAACTGGTAGCTGTGGATTATCTTTTGTTACCAAGTGTAAGTACATCCTACATACTTGCTCGATCGTCGGCTCACGTTTTTCTCTACTTTTCTCTACCAGGTTCCCGTGGTCACCACTAAACTCATAATTCTACGCGCCCCCTTGCAACAGCGTTCCTATAGGTTGTTTTATAGCAATCATCAAGGAATTATTATAAAACACAAACGAACTGAAATCTTTTCTACCAGTTACTTTCTGACACCAACGATTTTAACGCTAAATATGTTGAAGCTTACAGACGCTTAAATGACACTGATTATTGGGTGCTAGCAGAAAACTTTTTAAATTTACAAGCATAACACTGTACTGCATCATGCTACCACAAAAAGAAGATTAAGTAAAGGGAAAAGTTCTTCATCCATAAACACGAGAGATGGAACAATACTTCATTTAAGCTAACACGACAATAGACATAATGAAACTGGAAAGATATATTTTCTGTGCAACAGAGTTATGAAACAGAAAATTCAGGAACAGTATTAACAGCTTGCTGCCGCATCAATTAACTAGAACTCAACTGAGTTGAAGTAAGCCGAGACCAAAGCGATAGATATTTTAATAACAGACTTGGACATATATATATGGAGTAACTAGAGAAAAAGACTTCGGGTATAATTTTCATGTAGCCAAACATGACATTAAATAATGTCACTCAATGCTTTGACCATTTGAATTCAAACCATTGAATTGTATATGTAAACCCTATTTTTCCAACTTGAACTAGAGAAATTGATTGTTTACCTAGCTCTGATACCATGCAGCTTGCAGTCGTAAGCATAAATACGAAATCAAGAAGATTAAAGCATAATGGTTAAACAATCGGTATCAAGATGTAACTTTACTAGGAAGAAAATATCCAGTTGGAAAGTTTGAATTGATGAAGTTACAAGCTAGAGGTTTCTAGTTTATTGTCATTTCGGTTCCATATACAAATTTATAATGAATACATGGACAATACCGGGAGTTCATTGTATATAAGGTGAGTAGTAATATGTCGTAAACTGTTGAATAACCCAAACACTTTTCAATGGTATTTGAAATGTTTATTTATTACATGAATGATCAGGGTAATCAGTAAGTCATACACCATTAAGATAAAACTGAAAGCTAAATATACTCATAAAAGTAAGGACCTATGGCTTAGATTTATCAACCTTAGATTTAATTTTGGATTACAAACTAACCTCGTTAATAAGCAAATCATCATGGACTTTGATATCGATATTGATAGGGATGTCCGGAAACTTAAGAAACAAATCCTTTAATCGCGCAATTTTATATGATGGAGAGGACATCTCGTTACAAAAGGAACCTAACTGGGGTAGAAATAAAAGGATACGAGAAGTTAACTAACCATCATACAAACCACTATCTGTACTATTCAAAGGGCTTGCAGAACAAAGAAATGGAAAACTGAAGATTAGATATAAGAAAAGTAATACTAAGGAAAAAAAGTCCAACAAAACAAATGATGAATAAATTTACTCCAGACCTTTAAATTTATTTTACTAATCACATGAAACACAGAATGAAACTCTAGTATGGTTATCACTGACTTCTGTTTTTAGCGACAATGTCTTTAGTCTGTGAACTGTGCGATCCACCGAACAATAACCAAGCAGAAATGATTTAGCAACGGTGGACACCCTCAATAAAACCATCTATCATTTCACCAAGTCATTTTATGAAATAACCGCCGTACTGTACATAGCCAGACCCAGGGTCAACAGTTTTTTTATGCAGGAGAGGTTCAAAAAATATGCATGAAACGTGTCTGAGCCACCAAAAGCGTGGAAACAACAATGTCTAAATAAGTAACATCACCAACATGGTGACCGAGTTCAGACAACACTGCGGTTAGTGTTGATGGAATAGATTGCAATCCGTGTCACGGCTTACGGAGAATGCCTTCAGAATTGACGACAACTAGTGGTGACCCCCAGTCTAAAACTCCCCATGCAGCCTAGATCTACAGCTTAAGAATTCTTTGACTGGTGCTACGTCCTGATTTGGCTACCCTGAACCCCCTTCCAACCTAATCCAACATCCCCTAGCATTGCACGTCGAGGTAGGGCGTGGCTCGGCATGGGAAGTACATGTCCCAGCCATCTCAGTCGACTAACGTTGCCAAGCCCATCAACTGACTTGCCTAGTACCCTTTGTCTGGCTTCAACACTGTTCACACGGTGATCCCACCAAACGCGAGCAATGCTATAAAGACATCAATGGTCGGAACCTTGTAATCGCTTCGTGACTTCTAATCTTAACGGCCACGTCTCACAGCCATACAACGGGAAAGAACGAACTGAAACGTAGCACACTCGTTCTTTGATAAGTAGTAGGATATCTCGCTAGTCGGCGCCACAGGTGACGCAAGTTGGCGAATGCTAAGTGGGCCTTCTGTATTGGAGCTGAGATTTTGCCAGCAACCAGCCCGTTCGGACTAGTGCAACTCCCGGAGTAATTGAAGTGGTCGACACATCCCACTACTACACGCCCTATCACTAAAAACTGAGAGTGATCGCCAAACTGTATATCCAGCACAAAGTCCATAGTTCTTAAAATTTTTGACGGTTGGAAGAGGAGCTTCAGCATATTCCCTACCGTTGTGAAAAACCTTTTTTTGGATGTCTGTGGGAGTTGAGAATCTGTTTACGAATGACTGTAATCTGGTATGAGACTGGGAACAAAATTAAACGTTTATATTGAAAGGGAAAAGAGCTTTTAGGCCTCAGAATTAACCAGACATAATTGTTTAATATTATTAACTCAAATGTCTTATATCGAAGTAGAGTCTCAGATGAAGCAGCAAACGAGATAACTTTCTCTCCCACCATTAAATCTGCTAGTCAAGAAATCAAAAGTAACAGGTTCTAAACATCCAACATCCAAGCCGAACGCCTTGTAATGTATTAGACACTCATTAAAAAATTTTGGCATTGCGTAAATGATACTCATCATACTCGCACTTGTATTTCCCAGTGGATGTAAAACAAAATAAATTTGTTCCAACTAACGTTTCGCAATCTAGTGCTAATAGCTTTTGGAAACTGGAATTTACAATATCAAAGTTTATATAAGACAGCTCGACAAGTGTTCTTCTGCATGAATGATATCCATATTGTGTTGTGTGTGAAGTGTATGAGTTACAGGTTGAGATTTGTATGTACACATGTGCTGATAGTTCTTATCGTATGTTGGTTATGTCAGAATGGGCTGAAACCAAGTCAAACTACGTTTTACCTCCACAGTCTTATTTAGATAATTTTAATTCCACTTAATGTGAAAAGACTCTGACATGAGACGTTCTTGATGATTTTTAAAGCCTTTCTGAGTAATTTCAGCATTGTCTAAATCGACCTTATTCCTTACAGATCACAAACATCGGATGAAATTAGGAGAGTGCTCAACAAATACAATGCCGATTTTGGGTTTAAGTTCTTGGAGTAGTCTATTAGTGTTTAGTTTCATTCTGTTCAGTTCGGTGGATCTTTTTCAGCAATTAAAGTGTATGGTCCGTCGTATAATTGTTCACTTGCTTTCTTCTCACAACCTGTTCAGTTCATAATTACTGTTATATTTCCTTCATCTACCTTCGCTATTGTCTTTCCTCATATTTTTCAAGGCTTGAAATTGTTTAACAATGTTAAATGTATTTATTTGCGTTTGGATGTGTGGAATTTTCCTACACATTTCCTCAATCATTCTAGCAACACAAAAAAATACACCTAACATCGTCAAACAATTTCAAGCCTTGAAAAATCTGAGGGAAGATAGCAGCAAAGGTAGATAAAGGAAATATAACAGTCATTATGAACTGAACAGGTTGAGAAGAAAGCAAGTGGACAATTATACGACGGACCATACACTTTAATTGATGAAAAAGATCCACTGAGCTGAACAAAATGAAATTAAACACAAATAGGCCACTTCAAGAACTCGCTTAGAAGTCCTATTTCGAATGCTTTGATGAGAAATTTACTTCCTACCGATGCTGAAGAGGAAGATCCCACACGTATTTTGGAAAATGTTACCTTATATTTTCGTTGTGTCAAGAAGCTTGAGGTTGTGCCAGGCGTGCAGGACAAACTATCAGATTTGGTGTCAATTTTCAGACGAAAAGGGTGATAGTGGCAATGTGGTGCACTGACTGGACATTTAAAAATGGATATCAGGTTAATTCCATTTGGTTCACTTCGAACCGGGACACCAGACAGTGGCATTCATAATAATGATTGATGTAGCTCAGAATACAGTATGTGGAACTCCTATCGATGTGTCACATCACAAGACAAATGAACAATGGATACTAGTTGCTCAGTAGTTGGAGTCACCACACTAGACGCATAGTAGTTCTGAGACAGAGTATTTGAAAATGCTACAAACGCTATATATCTTTTGAACTGGCTAAACTATGCAAAACACGTACATGTATATTGCTCAAGAATCCCTGGGACCATACCCACATAAGATAAACAAGTAAACGTTTGGTGAACACAAATAAAAACGACCTCATACCTGGAGAAAACTGAACTTCGATGACATTTAGGTATCGAGGTAGATCTTCGTACGAGAAGTCTTTAATCAGTCCTGATACGCCAGTACAACGATCTAATGACTGATCGTGAAACACCACGACTTGGTTATCTTTGGTAAGGTGACAATCAGTCTCAAACATATTCGTACCAGCTAAGAGAGAACTAGCCACAGAAATTGTATGAGTGACAGTAAGTCATAACGCTTACCTACTGAAAGCTTCTAGAGTATTTTCAATTTTTTCACCAGAGCCACCACGATGACTGATATGAGGAGCATCAATGGGAAACTGCTTCCTCCTATGAAGTATAGTAGGTCGCCTTAGCAAAATATATGAAGCCACAGAGTAAAATGTAGCGATTGCTGCGATAAATCCCAGCATTTTAGGAATGTCGATGAATCTTGACAGACGGTACCACTCAACACAACAACATGTCTCAACATTCGGTTTAGGACCCTAAACTTAAAGTTGAAACCGCTTGGAGTGTGAAAACAAAGTCCAAGGCCTCAACATATACAATATCTTATCTTCAGGAAGAAAATGGTTCTCTAGTCATCAACTGCGGTTCCCTCCACGGTAGATACTCAGTTTCCAAAATCAGTACTATGAGTACATATAATTGATCCAATATCCAAAATCCAATATCTTTTTAACAAGCTTGTGTAAACCAGTTGATTTCTTCTTGCTCACTTCTTGGTCTAGCGAAACGGTTCCAGATCTTTGGCGGATTCTGATGCAATAGATCAAGCCACTCGTCTGCCATACCTCTGATTTACAGAACAGGAAGTTAAGTGTTGGTTCGTTTGCCGTGGACTGTGGTGCAGTTGGCTTCTTCAGATGTCGAGTTGCCAGACAGTTGTTCGGACTAGTCGCTAGAGAGAGTTAGGGATAGTGAAGAGAGTACCTGGAAAGTGTTTGTGTGAGTAAAAGGGGAAGAGTGAACTAACAGAGTAATCTACTTACACCCAATTTAGGCGGGGAGGGGTGCAAAGGTATGAAGAACTTAGGTAAGTGAGGCTAACTTAAGGCAAGTGGAAGGGGTGTAAAGGGCTTGAATGGTCACAATAGAAAGAAAATTGGTTGGGGTGGCTTGACATCACTTCGTGTTCCAGCTATGCGTGGGTAGACTGTGCGTCTCTGCATGACTGTCTAGCCTCTTCTTGAAGCTTTCAACAGTTGGGGCGGAGACCACCTCTGCTGGTAGTACTTTCCGGGAACCACAGTTTCAGAGGGAGAATAACTATGAACGCACATGAGTTTTTGACCTTTTGTGGGCTATTCTGTTGGGGTTTCCTCGAGGATCTCCGTATTGGCCACTCGGCAGAACCCCTCTTTTTGGGTGACTTGGGTTACTCATTATTTTGTAAGCCATTATCAAGTCGCCACGTATCCTTCGATAGCTAAGGGAGTATAGACTTAGGTCTTTGAGTCTATCCTCATATGGTTTTCGTTGCATTCCAACAACCCTTTTTGTGGCTTGCCTCTGGACTTTCTGAAGTAGGTTCGTGCCTCCTTTCAGCTGTAGTGGAGCGAAGACGTTATGGACCTCTAAGTGGGGCCGTGTGTAAGTCTTGTAGAGCTTCAGAAAGAGTTCTAGGGCGAGGGCAACCAGTTATTCACGCACAAAGTGTAGTGCAGCATATGCTTTTGAGACATCACCTGGGTAATTAGAACTGGTGTCCAGTTTCTCCATCATCGTTAAGCCCGGGTCTTTTCCCACTGTTGTATGGGATAGACGTGAACCACAGAGATAGTGGGATACTTCCTGGGGATCAGGAGTGCAGAAAAACATGGACTGGCACCTATCCAGGTTAAATGCCGGTTCGTTATTAGGTCCCCCTTCCCCTAGTGTTTTGAGGTCTTTCTGCAATGCCATAGATTCAGCCTCGCAAGTTATTGCCCTCCATAACTTGACATCATTAGCGTATAGGAGAATCGGGGAGCTGATATGTTGCGGCAGGTCATTCACGAACAGTAGGAACAACATTGGACCCAGGATTGCTCCTTTTGCGACACTGGATGAGGATATTCTCCAAGTTGAGTGGGCCCCGTTGACTTTCGTGCAGAACTCCCCGTTGTTCAAGTAGTTCTCCAGCCACGATAGCACCTGGCTGCGAATACCTAACCCAGCTATCTTATGTATTAGGATAGTGTGTGAGACGGTGTCAAAGGCCTTGGCGAAGTCCAGAAAAATTGCGTGGACCGGGACTTTGAGATCTCAGCATGCTGTCCAGTGATCATGGGCCATCAGGAGGTTGGAGGCAGAGGACCTACACTTCCGGAAACCATGTTGAGCGTCACTGAGTGCTTGTTTTTTGTCCGGGTATTCCCTGATACGGTCGCCCATCACGCTTTGCATAACTTTTGATATTACTGGTGGAGGCGCTATGGGTCTATAACAGTTGGGATTCTGCCTGTCTCCTCCTTTGAAGATGGCGGAAAGGAGAGACCGTTTCCTTTCTCGTGAGAGCTTTTGTTCATCCAAGGAGTGTTGGAAGAGGTCGCAGAGTGGGCCACTTAGGGCACTTGCACATTCTTTCAACACAGATGGGCGGATTTCGTCGCAGCCTGGGGATTTTCCCGCGCTTAGCTTTGGAAACTTGTCGAGAACAACAGCGCGAGTTATCTGTATTTCGTGTAACTCAGTAGCGTTGTGTAACTTTGAGAGCTGTTCGTGCAGTCGGCATAAGCACTCTCTTGATGAAATTTTGAGTTGTGTTGAATGCGGTGCTCAGCATTTCAGCAATCTCCTGTCCAGAGAGGTCTTTCCCGTCCGGAACTTTTATGACACATGCTCCTTGGCTTGTCGATTTTCTTTTTGCCATGAGTCGGCAAAGGTTTCTGGGGTTACCTCAAGTCTAATTCGTCGGGTTCGGTTCTTGATGTTTAGTTTTACTCCCGTAATGCACAAAGTAATCTCTTCTAATTTTCTCTTTTAGCTCAGGTTTTTTTGAGCGTCTACTGTGTGTTCGCATTCGTAACTTGTCGATCGATTTGGTTAGAAGGGTATGCACTGTAGCGTCACACACTTCCTAAAAATCAATAGCCTAGGGTTTGACAAGATTCAACATTGATGCTAGCCTTGATAGTTTAACTGAAGTCGCTAAGCTGAAGGCACCCGGTCAAGCAGCCTCGCCATTCGGCACGCCGTCGTGTTACGTTGCATTGATCGTAATCAACTCTCTGGATGGAACACATCGGTATCTTGGCACGACCTCGCAAATATACCGCTCCATCCGACTACGCTGTTGTGTTTTTCCTTGGTCTCGTATTCGTGAGTATATAACAAGTCCGAATAATTAGTGACTGGTCTTTGCCTCTGTCAAGTTCGCAACAGGACGAATCCTAAATTGGTGAGCCCGACGTGATCACATATCCCTACCAATAACAAATATTGAATTGGTGAGCCTGTTCCGTTTCATACTTGAATATTGTATTCATTTCGATAACGTTTATATACCCATATACGACCCTTTCTCATGTCCGACCATACTCCCAAGCTTATCCGTATTAAGCCAACTACGAACACTGTCCAACTCGTGCCACATTGGCCAGACAATGAGGAAACATGGTTTCTGTTTGCTGAGGTAGATTTTGGAGAACAGGGAGTCGCAGATCCCCATTCCAGACTTCTTGCTATCACGCGTTCACTACCGCGGGAATTAAACAGGCATGTGAGTCACGGAGTAGGTGATCCTTATGCACTTCTGGAAGCTGCGCTACCGAAGAAAAGTGACCTCACAGATCGCCAGCGCCCAGATGAATTGCTTCGTAACATCAAGCTGGGCAGCAACTCAGCCACTGAAGTACTCGCACACATACGAGAAGTTATGGACACGTGAACGGTTGATAAAGGCCTTCTCCAACAGTTGTTTCTCTCGAAACTACCAAAACAAGTGCAAACCGTGTTGGTGACGCTTTAGTTGGTCCCACTGGATGACCCGGCGGCCTCAGCAGATAAAATACTGAAGATCTTTAACTTATATCCTACCTGTGATGAAGCGGGGAGCCAGACTTCAGAGGTGGCAAAGCTGTGCAACTCTGTTAAATAGTTGCTACGACATCAAAGTCCTAGCTTACGTAGCACTTCACAAGAACGCATCTCAGCGCATCGCAGCAACTTGCGTCTTTCGGAGACGAAACCTAACAGGGTGGAAAACCCTTAATGGTGCTGGTTTCATAATACTCACGGAGATGAAGCCAGGAAATGCCGGAAGCCATGCAGTTTCAACACGGGCATAAACTCATGAACAGGCCACGCCGGCACGTGTTCGCGACTACCGTAGCCGGCGGAAACAGCCGTTTGCTCTACGTCAGCGACATAAAAACGAAAGTTCGCTACCTCGTCGAAACCGGCGCAGAAGTTAGCGTTCTCTCCGCACCGACAAGGGGACGTCTTCACGGCCCATCCCTCAATCTCCAAGCAGCTAACGGCAGGGCAATCGAGACGTTTGGGAGACGGTATGCCTACCTCGACTTAGATTTGCGTCAACATATTCGCTGGATTTCCCCCCCGGCTGATGTTTCTATGCTCATCATTGGCACAGATTTGCTGAACCATTACGGTGTACTCGTAGACGGTCGCCGCCGACGTCTGATAGATGACAACACAAAGTTATCTGTTGGCGGCACCACCTACATAGGTCCAAGCTTAGCCATCATCAGAACTAAATAAGCAGGCGGCGCGTCATTCCAGGCAGTATTACAGAAATAGCCAGAGCTGCAACAACCGACACATACTCTTCCGTGCATAACCAGCAATGTTACGCATCACGTGACAACCACTGGTCCATCTATGGCACCCGAAGCACGCCGTCTAGCCCCTGATCAGCTCAAAACAGCGGAGAGCGAATTCAACCACATGTTCAAACTGGGCATTATCAAACCTTCAGGCGGTCCTTGGACATCACTACTCCACATGGTTCCCGAGAGGGATAGCAACGACTGGAGTTCAACCGGTGATTGCCGAGGGCTTGGCACCAAAACAATACCGGACTGCTACCCGATACCTCACGTTTACCACCTGACTGCGACCTTATGCGGAATGAACATTTTCTCCAAAGTCGATTTGGTCAAAGCGCATGATCAGATACCTATGGCAGCAGAAGATACAGTGAAAACAGCTATGACTACTCCTTTTGGCCTGTTTGAACTCCTGCGTATGCCATTTGGTCTTCGGAATGCAGCACAAACATTCCAACGCTTTATGGATGATGTCTTCCGTGGTTTGAATTTTGTCTACGTCTACATCGATGACTGTCTCATTGCGAGTCCAGATGAGGAAACCCGATCCTCAACATTTGGACATCGTATTCGAAGGACTTAAAAAACATAGCATCACAGTCAACTTACAGAAGTGTGAAATAGCAGTTGAATCACTC